ACGAAAGACAGAACGTATTGATTGTGTGGAAATGTTAAAGTTACATAACTAGTAATACTACCTTTTACTTTCATAAAATAGTTAGAAAAAGTACTAGTTTTAATTTCCACTAAGCCGAAACCCTATCAATCTTTTACATCTAAACATTATTCTCGAGATAATTGTTACTTACCGTGATCTCACTATTACACACAAAATTTGTTTACATGATCGTAATCAGATAGAGACATGAGTCTGGTGGGAGTTCACATGCTGGATTGAGTACAGTCTTCTAATTTGCTCATAGGATCGTAATCAGACATAATCATAATTACTTTATTTAATTATTTATTTTAAAGACTTACTGAAATCAAACATTAATATTTAATTTAATTTAATTTCTTCTTTAAATATTTCATTGATTATTTTGTTTATTTAATTAATTATTTAGTCACAGTTATATTCAAAGGTCGATCGACTGGCTTTCGAAACCAAAATAATAAGGAATCAATAATTCGGGGCGAAAAATTGCATGCCCTTCAACGAATAGAAGGACCATAGGAATGATCGACGGAGTATGGCTACATGTTCCTCATCGAATCCTTCCAATACCGATACAACGTAACTTTTCCCAAAATGAGCTATCATGATATTATCTAGGTGGTACTCTATTATGCAAAAATAATACACGTTAAAAACATTTATAAGAAATTATCAACATTTATTATATTTTAAAATTTAACAAATCAAATTACATGCATTAGTACGTAAGAAATAAAACCATTTACTCGCACATTAAAAAGAGTAAATAAAAATTAAATAATACATAAATTGAATTAAATTAATGAAAAATAAATTAAATTCAAGAAAAAAAATACATACATGAATGAACAAAAAATTAAAAGAAGAAAAAAATGAAAAATAAATTATGGGAAATGAATTAGATTAGAATTAGAATTTTTTTTAAAAATTATAAGATTCGAATTTTGTTCTCTTAAAAAAAAAATAAAAAAAATTGGGCCAGCCAGCCCGGACTCGGACGGTCCGGGTCCGGACCATGGTCCATTACATACTACACGAGTCCGGATCCGGACTGCCCGGAATAATTTTTCAATTTCATTTTTATTTATTTTTCTGAATATTTTAAGAAGAAATTAAGTTAAATATTAATTTTTTTATTGAAGTTTTGTGAATATTTTAAGAAGTAATTAAATTAAATATTAATTTTTTATTGAAGTAAGTGTTTTAAAAAAATAATTAAATAAAGTAGTTAAATATTAAGAAATGAAAAGTGTTTGATTTTTTAATTTATAACTTAAGAGTAAATTTGTCTTTTAAAACAAAATTATGCCATTGTAATTTTATAAACAACTTAAGGTTATTTTTGTCTTTTAACCTAGAAAAGGCTATTGTGAAGATTG